GCGGCTCCGCCCGCGCCGCCGCCGCCTGCGCGGTGCAGTCCCAGGCAGCCTCCCGGAACCGCGCGGCCGCTTCACCGCCGCTGTCCGAGTCCGAGCCGGTGTCGCTGTCCGGGCCCGAGCCGCCCTTGGGCGCCGCCATCTTGCAAGCGCGGGACACGCTGGGCCCTGTGGTACGGCCGCGGTGCATGCCGGGAGCTGTAGTCCAGCCGCAGAGCACGCCGGGAGCTGTAGTTTGACAAGGCTTCCGATACCCGAATTTCATAAACTCATTCCTGTTTTAATCAGCTTCTGGAGGATACGGTTCATGTCCTCGGGGCCCTGGTAACTTCCTAATCAGATACTACACTGACATGACAGATTTTAGCTTGAATGGAGAAGCTGTGCCCAACCCTGCTGCTTTGCTGACTGAAAATTAAGAGAACTGCTTCGTTAGAGATTTTCCTGTTCCTGCAGGTAGGACTGCTTTGTGTGCTCCTCACGCCATCAGCACTATCGCGTTATGCACTACGTATACAACAACGTCTTTGGTGATTCCAGGTGGGCTTCTGGATAACCACTTTGCCGTGGGTTTTGCCAAGCCTATGTGCTGCTGAAAGCAGCAGGACTCTGTAGAACTGTTTTTATCCTGCTGGACATTTCCTGGCTTGCACATTCCAGCCTTCACACTAGAGCTGTGCAGTCTCAGGCGGCTGACAACATCCTTGGGCTCTCTCCAATTGGCTCCCTTGGCACTAGCTTCCCTTCATTTCTTCACTATTGCCTCATAAAACTCAACTTCAGTGGAAGACCTTGGTTTAGGAATCACCCATTCTCCACTGTATAAAAGAACAGGCAATTTTGGGCTGTTTTGTACCTTGGAATCCTCAGGACTGGCGGGGTGCCCTCGGAGCTGGGTGAAACCCTCCAGAAGTGCCTTCTCCGTCAGGTCACCTCCTCTCCCTTGCTTTGGTTTCTCACAACTGTACAAATACCTTTTTCAAGCTCTAAATACTTTTATCAAGCTCTCTATTTCCATCCTGGATATGTTTCTCAGCTCAGATTCTAGCACTCTACACTCGTAAGTCAACGATTTGTTTCCCTCAAACTTCCTTCCTTCCCTTTCCGTCCTTCCTTCCTTTTCCGTCCTTCCTTTTCTTTCCTCCCTTCCTGCTTGGGCCGAGCATTCGGTACGAACTTCTTGCAGTTCCCGGAGGCCGCCGTTTGGCCGCGGCCGCCACACGTCCCCGGGCAGCAGGGCCGCGCACACCCGCAG